ATTATGGGCTCTCCCTCAATAGGCACTAAATACTCCAAGGGGCACAGACAAGAGTGCGCTGCAGCGCTCTCCTCCATAACCCAGCCCGGTGTGGCTATCAAACCCCACTACACTCGCTCGAAGTGGAGCCTCGCGGACCAGGCATCCATCAGACTAAAAGGAGGGGGCTGAGAAAAAATTCAAGCCAAGGGCAGGACCAGACAGACCTGGGTAGAGCCCTTTTGGCCTTATTTTGTTCTGATGTTTCTGTAAGAGCTGAGAGAGGTCATGGGGATGGGAAGCAGGCTCATCCACCACTGGCTAAGGCACAAGTGGTATGCAGAGCACTAGCTATCAAAATGTGGAAGGGACATGCACCTTTGACCCAGCGAGTCTATACTGAGGCTCGAATTGTTTGCAGTAGTAAAAGAATGGGAGTGATTAGACATCCACCAATGGGGAACTATCTGGGTAAATTAAGGCCTATCCAGCAAGGTGGAAGGTCAAGAAACTGAAAAACAGGAAACCTCAGGAAGCTTTTTATCAGGTTATAAGAAATGATGAAATAACCTCTACGAGATTTTGTTGCAAGAAGAACAAGATGAAGAATGATAACAGTATTTAAGCCTTTACATTAAGAGAGAGTTGAGTGCACGTACTGACCCTATAGGACGGAGTATAAATATCATTTTCACAGAAACAGACGTCCACATCGTTCTTCCACAGAGTCGCTGGGGGGTTAGGGGAGCAGTTCAGCTTGTGACCACTGCACCACCAGGATTTCTCGCAGCAACTTGCTTATATCTGAAGTGGTACAAATTGATTGTGGAAAACTCCAGTTACCATTTAAGTCTACTTTCCATAGGCTCTGGTGGTCATGCTGGTCTGGCTCCAGGAAGAAGTATGGGGGCAGGACAGCAGGGTGAAAGGACTTGAAGTCCCTCCATTTTTGAATTTGAAACAACTGCTCTTTTTAAAAGATGTTTAAAGATCTGATCATTTATGAAAAGGTAAAAATAGAAAACAGCCACTTTTCCTCGGTCTAAGGAGTGCTGGTATGGTGCTGTAGGATAGATAAACACCCAACTGCAAGTTGGTTTGAACCATATGGTCAGCAGTTCAAACTCATCAGCTGCTCCTCAGAAACCCTGTGCAGGGTTGATATGGGTCAGAATGGACTCAATGACACTTAACAACAACAACAAGGAGCCCTGGTAGCCTTGCAGGTTAGGCGTTGACCGCTAATCACAACATTGGTGGATCAAACCCACCCGCTGCTCCGAGGAAGAAAGATGAGGCTGTCTGCTCCTATAAAGATTTACAGTCTCAGAAACCATAAACAGGGTCGCTATGAGTCAGAACTGACTTGGTGGCAGTGGGTTGGGTTTGGTTTATTTTTTTCGAATGAGTTTATTTAGTGAGAAAAACTTTTGACAAGATAAAGTGGGGTCTTTGAAGTCCAAGGCTGGGAAGGCCTGCCCCATAGGTGAACTGAGATGTGGCAGACAGAGTAGGGCCTCTCTCTGTTCCTGTTCCATCGGAGCCGGAGAGGGCAAAGCAGCCAGATGTACTCAACAGCCTTTTAAAATAGTAAGTAGATAAGCTTTCTTATATTACTTGGTTTCATTTCCTTAGAAAATCATGTTTGTAAACAGAGTCAGGTCACCTAAACATACCCGTTGGTAGAAATCTGTGCCTAATACTGCTAATCACACTCCATTGCCAGGAACACAAATGGACCTCAGGAATCTTTTGGTGATGAATACTTCAAAGGCTGGCTAGAGAGATAAATTGATGAACCCTTATAACTTGCTGTTCACATAGCCGTGGTGTTTGTAAAATGCTAACATGGTCACTGTGTGGTGCAAGGACCCACTAACTAAACAAAAATAGCACCTGTAATACATCTACAGGTTAGAGAGATTCTAGCACCTAACTAAAATTAGATCCCAATATTTTAGACTTCTGTGTCTGGTTTTATCACAGTTAATCAATAACGAACTATCAATAAACCCCAGTTCTGCATTAGGTACAAATGAAGGTAAGCCAAACTCTCTCTGTTCTCATAAAGCCTTTATCTGAATCCTAGCAGTAGAAACACAAGGCCCAGTATGACTACAGCTCCAGACTAAATGCCACTGTTAATGGTCCCACACGATCCTAATACAACGTGCTGGGTCATGCTATGCTGAGCGAAGTGCAGACGCCAAACCACAGTATTCACCAGCACAATGACACTATGTCCTGAACAGGAGACTACTGGGGAATGACAAAATCTCATCCTGGCATAGTAGGACACTAGGAGAATCTCCCAGAGTCACCCAGCGCAGGGCTTAATTCACAGAAACGATAAACAGTAATGATTTTCTGAGGAACTCCAAAACAATCCAGTAAACACAATTAGGTGGAAAGTCTGCAAAAACAGAGAGAGACATGGGGAAGACTGGCATTTTTTGGGTTTGACTGGGCAGCATTCACGATGGAGAAACGCCTAGACGTAAAGCTATTACCAGTTACTACCAACAACCAAAGCCACCCTCCTGCTACTCAGGGGTGTGCTGTACCCACAAGTGTATATGCAAGACAACACTACTGTCACACGCCAACAGGGTAGTTAGACACATTCTTACAGCAAATATACTTCTATTCCAAATTATAAAATGTCAATTAAGAACTATCAAAAGCAATTTGATGGTCTATACAGCTGATTTCTATAATTAATGTTTTTAATTGGGCTGGAAATTTTCAAAAGTACTACTCTACATCCATATCTTTAAAAAAACCTTCTCACCTTTCATTTTCTGAACTAGCTTTTTAACTGGTTTCTCAAATGCAAAGGTGCATCAAAATGTCTGTGGAAAAAAATCCATGATCTTTTCACTCCATTTTCCATATACCTTTTAAAGCCCCCTCTTATATCCACTATGACTGCACCACAACAGGACAATAAATCCATTCACATAAAGAGAAACAGGACCTGCTGGGTACCTGAAAAATGTAAGCTAGGCAAGCATTAGATATAACTATCACCTCAGTATGTAGAGAATTCTAGAAAAAAATGAGACAATCAAAATTTGAAAACATAATGGATGAAAAATCAGCTCAACAAATGAGCTCACCAGGATCTGAAAAGGAAGTTTTTTTCAAAGTCTGAGAAAGGAAACTGCCTGAGGAAACGGATTCCCGATCCCCCAACTTCCTGGGAAGACAAAACATGGAGTTATATCATCAGAGACTTTCCAGCTAAGATATGCTGGCTTCACTCCACGGAAACAGTCTGACTTGAGCACAGTGGAAGGAACTTCTTAAGGTGAAATGAAAAGAAGCTACCTGTACTTTCTACTGCTTGAACTGCTTTCCAGAGGAAAATTACATAACTGGAAGGCAAGCTGCTTCAGTTCTGTGAGTGCTCACCAGGATATAAAGCCAGTGGCACCTACAGAAAGGAGATCTGACTATATAGGCCACATTACAAAGGAGGAATAAGATGTACAGAATCAAACCAGAGACCAGAGGCGAACCGTAAGTGGTGGAAATAGAAGAAAGCACGCGACAGTGAACTCATCTATGCCAGGTACCATGCTTAAAGTCCCACATACATTCTTCCACTTAATCCTTCAGCTCTGTGAAACAGGTAGTGTTATGGTTCCCACTTTACAAACAGAGAAACTGGAACCTCTCTGAGGCACACCTTGTGTGACCAGAACCCAGTTTTTCCCCAGCTCTTTATACTGCCTCCTGCCCTAGGAGACCCGCCAGGCCCTCAGAAGAGACCGCCAGCTGGAGCAGGCAAACTGAAGGAAAATGCAACCCAGTACCCTCATCCCTCTCTCCCCTGATCCTACAGAAAGGGTGAGAAAAGTTCCTTAAAGGAGGCCTAAGGTTAAGTACTCAGGACAGTAAAATGTAAGGCAGTGATATCATTTAGTCATCACTGAAAGCATTTCCATTACAAACATGTCCTCCCCACTGCTTCTGGCCCAATAATAGCACTGCTAGTGAGAAAGTAAGTTTGAATGCGCCTTTTGGGAGAACAATTTGGCATGGACTATCAAGCCGACGGGTCGGAACTGACTCGATCCTCAATGGCACTCAACAACAACTACATCACCAAGCATGGTGGCACTGTAATATAAGCACTGGACTCGAAGCCACAAGGGTGATGGTTTGAGCCCACCAATTGCTCCCCCGAAGAAAAAATGAGGATTTCTACTCCCGCAAGATATATAGCCTCGGAATCGCTATACAAGCTTACCATGAGTCAGAACTGACTCAACAGCACTTAACAACAACCTCAGTATCATAATTCCACATATCCTCTGACTGAGCAATATAATGGCAAGGACTTGACACGTTAGAGGTATACATACACACCAGGTCGATCTGAATCACTCAGTTGGCGGTTCAAACACACCAGCCGCTCCTTGTAAACCCTATACAGGATCACTATGAGTCAGAACTGACCCGAAAGCACTTAACAACAACACATACACATGAACTTCTGCAAGTTGCAATACTTCCCATGATGTCATCTACAGTTGCCCAAATGTCTGAAGCAGCCTAAATGTCCACCAGTGAGGGGACTGATTAAAACTGAGCACAAACTATAGGTTGTAAGCATACGTGGGAATCCCGTGGAGAGGGATTTGCTCTACTCTGATATGGAATGTTCTCCAAGGTCTATTACTGAGTAAAAAAATGCTAGGTACAGAACAGTATACTATGATCCCACATGCATTAAATGTTTCTAGAAGGATACTTAATACATTCTTTTTTGGAGTGGGACTGGGGAAATAAGGAGAATGGAAACAATTACTTTTCATTTTATACACTTTGAAAATGCTTGGTTTTTGTTTGATTTTTTACAGTTCTGATAAATTACCTTAAAATATCCAGAAAAAATATCGCAGAACTTTTGTTTTTAAGCTTTCTTTAAAAAAAAAAAAAATATATATATATATTTTTTTTTCTTTTCTTTTCTTTTCTTATTATTAACAGCACTATCTTGCTATTTTCAGTACCTTGTTTCCTTCATACACCCAGCCCAAACTCTTCACACCAAAAGCAACTTGGTTGGCTGAGACATCAAGACATGTGACAGGCTGGCCGTAGATGTAATGGAGGTTTCTGGCAGAGTCTTCAGCTTTTAGCAGGTAGACCAGGTCTCCAGCAGTGGCTACTGCCACAGGGTACCTCTCAGTACCTGGGACAATTTCAAGGTAGTCAACCTGTTAAAGGATGAGAGTTGTTTAGTGCTTAAGATCTCACCTGAAATACTTCATGACTTGGTCAAAAATATACAACTGCTTTAACGTATCAATGAGAAGATCAGCAACCCAATAGAAAATAATGGGCAGAGGGGTAGGAGACAAAGCAGAGAACACCAACAGCTCTGACATAAATCAGGTGTTCATCATAAGAGAAACACCATACACTCCTAATAAGAGAAACACAAAGTAAACATTCCCGGAAATGCTATTTGCTCCTGTTATACTGGGAGAGCAAGAAGTTTGAAAACACACTGGGCTGGAAGTGGTGGATTCCACCGACTGTTGGTGGGAAATAAACCGATCCAATTTGTACAGAGGGAAACCAGGCAAAACTTCCAGAAATTACAAATGCACATCTGCTCTGCTCCAATAGGTCCAATTCTAGGAATTTACTTACTTAGAAAATCAAAATGAATGCATTCAAGGTCATTTGTAGCACAATTTTGTCACAGTAAAACACTGGAAAACCTAAAATCCACTACTAAGGGACTAAAGGAATAACATACAGCACATCTAAACAATGGAATACTGTGCAGTTATAGGAAACACCTGGCTGCACTGTGGGTTCGAATCGGGCTGGTAACTTCAAGGTCGGCAGTTTTAAACTACCAGGTGTTCCACAGGAGAAAGATGAGGCTTTCTGCTCCCATAAAGATTTGCAATCTCGGAAACCTTGTGCAGGGTCACTATGAGTGAAAAGTGACTTCATGATACTTAACAACAACAACAACATAGGAAACACATGAAGAAATGAAATCAACTCCAAGACAAATGGGGCGAGGCAGGAGGAGCAAGGAAGCAAAGTGAGAAGGCCAGGATTTGGGCTTTTAACACATGTGTCAAACATGGTGACAGAGAAAGTGTACAATGCGCTGCTTGGCTTGTACATGCATGAATCTGCTAACAATGACTGCCTTCAGGAAGGGAAAAAGGTTAAGAGAAGGGAGAAAAGGAGATTTCTCACAATAAACCTTTCATCTTAACTTCTGAGCCACGAAATTGCTCCAGAAATTAAGGTTGATTTTTTACATGAAAAAGAATTTAATAATACAATTTGCTTGGTTACAAATGAACAAAAGCTATATCTTTACATCTATGTAAACCACGAAAAAAATGTTTTGCCAAAGATTAAAAAAAAATCTTTGCTATCCTCTTTCTCCTAGTTTGAATGCTCAGCAGTAAGTTCACAAAGTGTCTATCTGGCCATTCCCAACAAGCTTTTTTATTCTACATCAGTGGCTCAGACATGCAGGACCCCTACCACCTTTCTCTACCTGCTGAGGTCTGACTGATGAGTGCCCTGCAGGAAGAATCACCCAGCAGCAGCCCCGTTTCACTCCCCCGACCCCCACACAGTCTACATGCTCCTTGAGTAAATTAGGAGACTCTGCATGGTGAAGGTGAGCCATACTAACGAAAACCCACAGTGTGGGAGGACAGCATTCACCGGACAACGTGCCAAAGAGCTCAAAAACCTGAATCCTGAAGACCATCCACAGGAGCTTGCAGCGCTTAAACATCTGAGTAACTCTGCTAATCCTCAGGCCCACCAGTGTGAGCCGTAGGCAGTCCACAACCCAGACTGTGGACCCATCACAAAGGATGGATGTCCTAGGCTAATATTACAAACCTGGGAACACTGCCACTGCTATTCAGGAAGCATATCTGGAAAGACCAAAATGGCCCAGTTGTGCAGGCCAGGGAATGCCTTTTCCAGAGACACTCGGCACATTCTCACCCAGTGCAAGAAGCAATACACAAAACTTGTTCTTAAATATGCTCCTACAAGAATTGCTTGCTTCCCCTCCCTCCTATTCTGAAACGCTTTCCGTATTTTCCTGCCTCTGACATCCTCGGTCTAGTCATTTGACTTCATCTTCATTTGGCTATTTGACAGACTGAAAGGCTCAGGCTGAACGCGGTTGTGCCATTTGCTGGAAGCTGCAAATAACTTCAAAAAGGTGCTCAGCTGTGCCAGGATGCTACCTCTTGCCAAAGCAGGATTTATACTTTCTAGAGAGCCTCACATCGTAAGTAACTGTCTGCCTTCACAGAGTTAGTACTGATCCACAGTGCCCTATAATCCAAGACCAGCAGACTTTAAAACAAACAGAAAGCCTCGTGCTTCCATATTTTCCTATGAAAACCCCAAGATAAGATGACAACATTAGGCAGTGCTGGAGAAATGACACATCTCAACTGCAGAGATCTGGTCATTAAAGGGGCAAGGAGCTGATGGTGGCAAAGCAGTAACGGACGGCTTTATTAGTTATTCCAGTCTAAAAAATATCCACCAGGAGAATAAGAAGAGGAACAGGAGTTTATTCCAAGTCAGGCCATCGGTTCACTATTTCAGCATTGACTTTGCTGCTTGCTCAGCTGTTAGTGCCCCAATCAAGTGTTTTTAAATTAAATCCCAATCCCAATTTAACACCATCAGATTTCAGCCTCCCTGTATGACTTTCCTTCCTACTAGCAAATCATCTTCAACCAAACAAATATAAAGAGGTTTATGTACAAGACAGGTGCTACTGACTGAGCTCTGGAATAAGCTCTAAGAAAAGGAGTCATAAGGTTGGCTCAGCCTTGTACAGGGCATTCTGGAAAACAGCTACCTAATTAACACTCACTTAGAGCATTTTCACTTTAGAGTTACTTTTAGTTCCAGGTGAGAAAATCTTGGGAGTGAGCAAGTCCAGGATGGAAATCTTCCTTTCCATATGGACAGGGCTGGCACCTCTGAACTCATTTTCACTTACCTATCAGGCCAGAAAACAAGCTCAAATTTCCAGAGCTACAAGTCCATCACTTCAGTCTGAGGGAAGCTGAGGACCACAGTGATGAAAGGCAGCCCTGAGGTTTGAGTGTCAACTTCTTAGCTCTAGAGCTGGATAAGTCGTTAACACTCTCAGCCTGTTTCTGTCATGGTCAACCAAGAAGATAAAAGCTATCTACACTTCACAGGGTTCTTATGGGATCTAAAGGAATCCTGGTGGTGCTGAGGCTAAACACTATTGATAAACAAAAAGTCAGTGGTTTGAACCCATCAGCAGCTCTGCTTCCATAAAGCAGTCGGCTTCCATAAAGATTATGGCCTTGGAAATCCTAAGGGGTAGTTCTACTCAGTGCTACAGGGTCGCTATGAGTTTGAATCAACTCGACAGCAATGGGTTTAGCGATTTTGTTATGAGACTTATGGATTTAGAGGCCACAGGAAGCTCAATATGAACAGGGGCTGGCCAACATCATTGCTATTTATTTACACGGATGCAGAGATTCTCAGAATGCAAAATAAAAGAGCAGACTAGGGACTCACCAATTTCTGAACTTCAAATTCTGCAGCTATATGCCAATATCCTTCTTCATTGGGGCACAACATTATGACATCAAAGGCAGAAGCAGTGGCAACTGTCGCATCATCCTGACTGAGGGCCAGGGCCTGTATTCTTGCGTCATGCTCAAAACGATGAATAGGGTACTTTCCAGTCCTTAGATCCCAAATATTGACAATTCCTATGTAGAAGGAAACGATGCCAGTAACAATCTTAAATTCACTTAAAATGCACAGATATAAAACAGCAATCATGCAATATAAACAAAATTCAAAGATAAATGACAAATTAGTCATATACATATATATCACATATTACAAGGACCAATTTCCTAGCTACATAAAAGATTTCTAAGATTCCATAAGAAAATAACAACTGAAAGGTGAGCAAAGGGTCTGAGTCTGCTACATGCAAAAAAGAAATACTACCGTCATGTAAACATGACAAAAAGTAAAAATTCACTCACAATCATGAAATGTAAATAAGAAGTGCAATGATAGCATTTTCCGTCAAATTAACAAAGAGAAAATTTCATAAAGCTTTCTGCTGTTGAGAATATGGAGAAACAGTCTTATCTTTTTTCTTACTTTATAGATTTTTTAAATCTTTTTGTGTGTGTGTGTGAAGAAGGAAGAATACATTCTCTCTTACATTGTTGGTAGGAGCACAAACTAATTCATCTACTTTGGAGGAAATCTGATACTTACCAAATAATAAATGTATATCTTCTTTAATGCAATTATGCATTTATATATATATACACACACATAGAAGTATGTACACAAAATATATGCTTCAATTACTGTAGTCTTGTCAATTATAGGAAGAAGAGTCAAGCTATGTAAAAGTTCTCATCAATAACAGAAGTGGCTGAAAGCAGAGAATATCAGAAGGATGTTTACCTATGCTTTATTGACTATGCGAAGGCTATTGATTGTGTGGATCATGACAAGCTATGGACAACATTGAGAAGTATGAGTATTCCAGAACACTTAATTGTACTTCTGAGAAATCTGTACCTAGACCAAGAAGCAGTTGTTCAAACAGAGCATGGGAACACTGAACGTTTTAAAATTGGGAAAGGTGTGCGACAAGGTTGTGTTCTTTCACCATACTTGTTCAATATGTATGCTGAGCAAATAATACAAGAAGCTGGGTTCTATGAAGGAAAACGTGGCATCAGGATTGGAGGAAGACTTATTAACAACCTGAGATATGCAGATGATACAACCTTGCTTGCTGAAAGTGAAGAGGACTTAAAATATTTACTGATGAAGATCAAAGAGCACAGCCTTACGTATGGATTACAACTCAATGTAAAGAAAACAAAAATCCTCACCACTGGACCAATAAACAGCATTCTTATCAATGGAGAAGAGATTGAGGTTGTCAAGGACTTCATTCTTCTTGGATCAACTACCAACACTCGCGGAAGCAGCAGTCAAGAGATCAGACGACGTATTGCATTGGGCAAATCTGCTGCACAGGAACTTTTTAAAATATTGAAGAGCAGAGATGTCAGCTTGAAGACTAAGGTGCGCCTGACCCAAGCCATGGTATTTTCAATAACCTCATATGGATGCGAAAGCTGGAGAGTGAATAAGGAAGATCGTAGAAGAATTGATGCCTTTGAGTTGTGGTATTGGAGAATACTGAAAGTGCCATGGACTGCCAAAAGAACCAATAGATCTGTTTTGGAAGAAGTGCAACCAGAGTGCTCCTTGGAGGCCAAGATGGCTAAGCTTCGTGTCTCATACTATGGACACATTGTCCAGAGAGAAGAGTCACTGGAGAAGGATGTCATGCTGGGTAAGGTGGAGGGTCAGAGTAAAAGAGGAAGACTCCCAACAAGATGGATCAGCCAGGTTGACATCATTGATGGCGTCACAAGTGTGGCGGCGGTAGTGAGGTTGGCCCAGGATCGGACATTGTTTCGTTTTGCTGTGCATGGGGTCATTATGAGTCGGTTCCTACTCAATGGCACCTAACAACAACAACAACAACAACAATGTCCAACTTGCCCAAATGTGTCTACTCTATGTATGGTTGTTGTTGTTAAGTGCCGTCGAGTCGGTTCCGACCCATAACGACCCAGTATAGGGTTTCCGGAGTGAGAATAATCCTTCCTGTAAAGATTTGTTCCCTCTTTTAAGCTACTGCATCCATAGGTGTAGGTCAAGTTCATCAAATTGTATCAGATTACTCCTTTTTTCTTCTTTTTTCTACATCTACTAGAGCTCTGATCATCCAGTCATTGAAGCCAGGTCAAGTGGGTATTATCTTCAAGTGTGGGTGTTCTTGTGGATATGACCCGTCTTCTTCGTCTTCTTTTTATTTATTTAATTAAAGTTTTTTTATTGTGGATTGAGTGAAAGTTTACAGGGCATATATAAACAGTTTTATATTCAACAAATCATATACCTTGTTTCATCATATAGATTATAATCCCCTGCATGTACCATAGGTTAACAGTATTTCTCTCTGTCCACTTTAGCTTTTTTAAAAATACACACACACACTAAAAAACACTCAGGCATATATAATAATTTACATCTCCAAAGCGCACATTCTGCAAGTCTGCTCCTGGCCACCAGCTCTTAGTCCTTCTCTTCTTAGTCCATGAATCTAGAGTCCTCAACCACTACCCTTCTCCATGCCCCCATCTCTGCCGCATCTCTGGATAAGGGCCTGCATTCTGTTTGTGCGCTTCTCTCTTTATGGTCCTAAGGTCCTCTGTTTCTGGATTGTAAGATTAACCACTCTCACGTTTTTGTTAAAAAAAAAAAAACTTCTATGTTTACAGTTTTAACAGTTGCAATTAGTCATGATAACAATTATTCACTATTGAATCTAACGAATCTTACCCCCATCTCTTTTCGCCAGACCCATCTAGACAAGATGACAGCTATTCAGTGGGGACTCTTTATTTCCCCCGCATATTCTTAAACTAAACTCCCTCTCGAAACCTTGTAAGGCTGTCACTTTGTGCCTTTATTGCCCCCTCATTTTAGGTAGCCAGTATCTAAGTTGCCTGTACCTATCTACCCTGTGTACAGAGCGGATAGCATTGATACTTGATGTGAAGACTCTTTCACTCTCTGTTTGTATTTTGAGTAACTACTGCTGTGAGTATAGGTCAGGTTCATCATGAAGATGTATCTTCTGTCACTGTAGCTGTTCCAGTCGCTTGTCCTCTCTAGTGAGAATGTCTCACCTCATAAGGTTCTAGATGGGAGTGAGGATTCCACCTAAAGTCCTATACTCTGTAAAGGCTTTGCACGAGGTCTATTTCACTGGGCAAGTTCTAGAACCCCTTTTAGGTATTCCAATCAGTTATA